CGGTAATGGCTCCAGGAACCCTTTGCTAGGAAGGGCACTTGCTTTGGCCACCTATTCCTTTTCTGGGTCCCAGAAGCCCACTCTCCACTGCAGGAGTGGGGACTCGAAGCCTTCGGCGTGTCTCCATACCCAGTGGAGGTCGCTCCTGACTCCCCTTTCTGGAGGACTAAGACCATTTTTCAAATGTTTCTTATTCACAGCCCTCTCCTCTACCTCCCCACCTGGGGTCAGTAAAGCTACCAGTCATTTTCCCAACTGGCAGACACATCTCAACGGAACTTTCTATGTCGATGGACATCTCTGTATCTGTGTTGTCCAATATGGAAGCCACAAGTCACGTGTCACTATTAAGCACTCAAAATGTAGCTAGAGTGGCCGAGGAACTAAAATTTTAATTTTCTTTCATCGAAACGAATTTAAATTTAAATAGCCATATGTGGCTTGTAGCTACTTTACTGAACAGTGAAGTTCTACAATCTCCTTCAATACTTTGGCCTCTGAAGCCTATCTTCCCTATGACCTTGGCATCTGCTCCAGTCCTACAGAATTCTGTCCCATTACATAGAGGGTAAGCTAAGGCCTGAGAGAGAGGGTACTTTGGGAGGCATAGGAAGCTAAAAAAGACTGAAACCTACCCCTTACTCTGCCTTCTAGCCCAGGCCTTTGGCTAGTGGCCCCACTGGCCCCTGGTCTCTGGCTGAGGTGTGGGAATTTGAATGTGATGAAACTCTAGCCTCCTTGGCTGATATCCAGCTGTGGTTTCACACTTGAGCTTCAGAGTCCGGCGGAGACGGCTGGAGAGGATCGTCAGAGGATGGGAATTCAGGTGGCCCAGCCAGCAAGCCCTGTGAGCAGGAGCTGTCCCCAAGGGGATTTCCAGGCTTCCAGATTTTGTTGGTAGCTTCTGGCCACTGACCGATCTTCATTACCCAGGCCCTCCTGGATTCTCCACTGGGGGCGGGGGCAATGGAGGTGACAAATGAGTATGTGACTGTGCATGGAGAGTGTGTGGAAGGGAAGGGGGGTGATGGCTTTTCTAGGAAGGAGACCAGCTAGCTCGCTCTACCTTCTCCACCATCACCACCGGCTGCATAAGTTGCAAGACCCAGTGCAAAATGAAAATGCCAGCTTCCTTGCTGCAAGAAGGTGACCTCAGAGCATTAAACCAAATGAAGGGCCCTTCTGAGCATGGGTCCTGAATGACTGCACAGGTTGAAAATTCATGAAACTGGCTCTGCTACCAATGTCTGAGAGAGATCTACACAGGTCTCAAAAACAAAACAAAACAAGAAACAGAGGATCTATCTTCTGGGCCAGGCTGAGGGCAAAAGCTGGCTCATCCCTCTCTCCCCAACTGGACAGGGGATTCTGGAGGCAGAGGATTTGAGCCTTTTGTGTATCACATTTCCTCAAGTTTTCTCTCAGGCAGGCTGATGCCCTCAGGCTGGGGATGAGGAGGCTTCAGAGAGACCATCTCAGCATCAGCCCTGATCCTGCCCCAGCCTCAAGATAGGGTCAGGAAGGCAAGACGCTGCATGAGGTCTTAAAAGCAGTGCATGTTTACTGAGTGCTTACTTCATGCCAGGTGTCTTGTAAGCATCTTGTCTGTATTATTTCATTCGACCTTCCTAACACACCAGGAAACAATACTCTTATTTGCCCCTTCTGCAGATGAGAAACACAAGCACAGAACAGGGGGACTTTCTGCAGAGAGAGGAATGTTCTATACCTTGGTCGTGTGGTTGGTACACATGTGTATACATTCATCAAAATTCATGCACTTAATCTGTGCATTTTTTTGAATGTAAATTATCTCTCTATAAAATCTATTTATTTAAAAACGTATTTTAAAAATGGAGGCACAGAGACTTTGAGAACTTGCCCAAGGTCCCATTCCTAGTAAGTATCAGAATCAGGATTTTTGGCTCAGGTACGCAAGAGTAGTAGTACTATGCTGGTGCAAAGATCATCGATCATAAAGTCAGAAAGAGACGTTGCAGACCTACTGACTTCTTGTTCTTCATCCAGTTACAGAACGTCTCTGAGCCTTTGGTTCCTCATCTGTAAAATAAGTCTCCCGGGGTTGTGGTTTAGTGCTGTCGGGGACATGTTGGTGGAGTGCAGACTCCACAATGTTCCCGGAAGCTGCACAGGGTTCTCTTGTCCTGCTGTTCATGCCTGTGGGCTGGAGGCCAAGCCGAAGGGCAGTCTCTCAGGCCGAGCATCACCTCTCACCTCCCTTGGCCCAGGCTGCGCCCAATCACTGAGTGCAGGGCGCAGGCTGCCAGGGCTGCACCAGGGGTCTCGGGGTGGCTCGTGAGGTGTGGACTGCCCTCTGTGAGAGGCGCTGAGGAGCTCAAAAGGGGGGAACTGATTTAGGATTCAGAGACATGGAAGATGGGAGAGGTGTCTTTGTTGGAAAGAGGACGGAGTTTGTTGTAGACTGTTAGGAAAAAAATATCAAGTTACAAACGTCTTAAAAAGTAAGGGTCTTCACTAAAAGATTAGAAATAGAATGTGTTACTTCGAGCCTCTGGCCTCTCTCTGTCCACATGCCCCTCCACTCTGCTAGGCTGGACTGTATTTATTATTTATTCATTTATTTACTTGGGCTCCACCCCTCCCCACCCCAACACACAAGGAACTTGAGTTGTGTTTATCACATTGGTCTCCCAGCCTTTGCCCAGAGCCTGGTACCTACGACGTGCTTAATAAATGCTGCTGGGTGAAGAATTGAAAACTAGAGTCAGACCCACCAGCACCAGGACTCAGGCCCAGACCTTCCCAGACTACTGAGGGGGAGGCTGAATCCATTGCTCAGGTAGCAAAAGTGCCACCATCCTCCAGACAGAGACCAAGTCCAGTGGCCACACCTTCCTTGGTTCTGACTTTTGGGAAAATTCTGTTGTTTTGATCCCCAAAGAGCGACCTGGATCCCCAAGTCCTAACAGTACCTCCATCAGTAGAGTAACGCATTTCACGTGGGACTCACGAGGAGGGCTGAGGCTCGCAGACATTGGAGACGCCCCCCGGGACACACAGAGGCATCTTGACAGAGCCTGCTCAAGACCTCTGGCCTCCTGGCCTCCGTCCAGCTCCACAGCACACCTCATTGCCTCTAATGCACTCTTTGTCCGCCCCCCACTCCAGTAATGGGACCCAGCTGGGTGGGGTTGGCCACTGAGAGGCTCCAGGCTTGGCTTGGGCCAGCGGCTCATGGAAATTGGGCCATTTTCCTGGGGCGGAAATGAGAAGCAGATGTGGCTCTGGAGCTGGGGTGCAGACTCATGTCGTGTCAGGGGGCTCAGGTTACATGAAGGAACACGTGACTGTGGTTAGAAAAACAGCCTGGAACCCCCAAGGCCCACATCATTGGGGGGGGCAGCCTGGGCCCAGGGCACGAATCCCCACCCCCACCCGTACCTCCTTGGCAGTCCCTGAAAGGAGCCTGGTGAGATGGGGGGGCCGGGGAGAGCAGGCTCCCGGTTGCTGTGCCTTCTGGCTCCCACTCTGAGTGTGTGGTTTAGTTTCTGCTCCTTGTCTCAGAGCTGAGTCTCTGCACCAAGTCTCTGCCCTTAGGAGGATGCCCAGGAAGGGGAAGGAGCCCTCTGCAGAGGCCACAGCAGCCTCTTCCCCGAGGCTGGCTGGACGCTGAGGCCCAGGCTCCCAGACACCTTTTACAGCCTCACACTGCACCTGATATTCCGCTTCAGTCCTTTGGGGGAAGGGACTGACCCCTAGTTGCAATTCACACCTTTTCTTGGAAATCCTCAGATCTTATGTGTGTTCAGGCAGCCTTACCTGAGTGGAGATTAATTTATCAACTTCTTCCAAACAGCCAGCAGGGCCTGGACACAAGAGGAAGGGCTGGGGCAGGGCTCTAGAGGAAGTGAGGTCCTGGCCCAAGAGGAGCCCAGGAATAACTTGGCAATGGTAGTGTTTGTGTGGAAGGGTCTCTAATCTGGTCAGGCCAAAGGGACAGGGCTTCATTCATTCATTCATTCATTCATTCAATAAATGGTTGTTGCACATCCACTATGGCCAGGGAACAGGGATAAGCCCTGAAGATCCGGAGGTGACCGAACATGGATTTAGTCTCTGGGACCTCGGTGACAATGGAGGCAACCCACTAATTCATATCTTTGATTCATTGATTGATTGATTCATTCATTCATTATTGAATGTGTACCATATGACAGCATTATTCTAGGCTCATAAGATCTATCAGTGGACAAAACAGACATTTTTGGAAGAGGGGACTGACTATAAAGATAAACAATAAGTTAAATAATATATCAGAGGGGACGAGTGCTATGAGAAGAAAGGTCAATGGGACAGAGGAAGGGGACCGGGAGGTGTGGGCCGCTGCAGTGGTCCCCGGGCAGGGAGGGTGTGCTTCTCTGAGAAGGTGAGGCTGCAGCAAAGACTTGCATCTGGTGAGGGAGATGAGAACAGGTGTCTGGGGACACGCAAAGGGCCCGAGGCAGAAGGGGGCCTGGAGGGCTCTGGGGCAGCAAGGAGGTCAGCGTGGCTGGGGTCCTGGGACCGAGAGAGAAAGCGAAGTGGGAGTGGAGGGAGGTCAGCAGTCAGGAGGGGCCGAGGATCTCAGAGACGGCCCGGCCTGTAGGGTTTCAGCTTCTATGGTGAGATGGGAGGTGCTAGAGGGTTTTGAGCAGAGACGTGTGTATTGACCGGCTTTTTTAGAAGACTCCTTGGGCTGTTGTGTCTACAGCAGTTTGGAAGGGGGCAGGGGAACCCATCGGGGGACATCTACAATGGTCCAAGCAGGTGCGATGGTGCTGCAGCCAGCCGTAGCAGGGAAGGAGGGGAGAAGCTCCTGGGAGAAACCTGAATAGGATGCCATGGTAACTCAGAGAAGGGAACTGATTAACTCTGACTAAGGACTCTTTCTCAGGGGAGGTGACTCAAGCTGGATCTTAAAAAATGAGCAGTTCAATAGGCACTCAAGAGAGTTAGAGCATTCCAGCACCCTGTGTGACAGGGCTGAAGCAAGAGAGAACCAGGCCCATTTGGGGAGCTGCTCGTCACTACTGGAGCACAAGGGCCGGGAAGAGCAAGGCAGGCCAGGCTGGATGAGGAAGGAGCTGGCCCCTCTGCCAAAGGCTGTGATCCTGTGGGCACTGGGGAGTTCATGACGGATTTTAAACTGGGGCTGGGGATTCTTAAGGCCCAGTTTCTGGTTAAGAAAAATCCCGTGGTCACCATGAAAGGGTTTAAGTGAGGTGGAGAGTGGAAACCCAGCTAGGAAGGAGAAAACAAGGGCCTGACCCAATGCAGTGGGAGAGAGAGAGAAGGGAAGGGGCAGGGTTAGGGAGACAGGACCAAGTGCATGTGGGCTGGGGAAGGAGGAACAGGCCGTTTGAGGAAGAGGATGAGTCAGTTTGGACAGGCTGAATTGGAGGTGCCTGTGGGAAATCAGATAGAGAAGCCCCAGGGTGGCTGATAGAAGAGTTTAAAGAGGACTGTATCCAGGGGCCCATGTCTCAAGGGACAGGAGGCAGTTTAAGCCATGAAGTCCACCAGCTGGGAGGCTTCTCTAGACTTTTATCTTCAGGAAAATCTGAATTGAGGTATAGCTCCCTCATCTTTGCTTCTCTCTCAAGTCTTTTGAGAGAGAGGGTTAGAAAAATAATCTTGAAAGTGAAGAGGAAAAATCCAGGAGGCGATGGGTCTCCCAGGAAAATGTTGAGAAATCATAAACGTGTGGTCCCTGAACAGGTCTCAGAACACCCATAGGGAGTCCGCGGTGAGTGCTGGGCTAGGCAGGGGTCTTGGTATCAGCCCGGACATAGATCTCTGTGTACAGATGCGTGCCTCATGCGTGCGCGTGTAAAGTGATGTGTTTTCTCTTCCTCATGGTTCTCGTTCTTCTGCAGCCCTTCCCGGTGAAGTCTCATTGCCCAGTGAAGTAGAGGGCAGATTCAAAACAAGGCATCGAGCAGGGCTGAAGCAGATGGGATACAGAGAAACTGCTGCCGACAGCGGTGGGACCAGTAAGGAGGACCCGAGGAAGAGAGACCAGGAGAGGCAAAAAGGCAGAGCTTCACCCCTGCGGAGCCTCAGAGGGCGGTGTCGGAGAAACCCCTGTGAGGTTTGAGGGCGAATCTCACTGTAAGGGGGTGAGAGGGGCTTGACTTTCAAACTGCAGCTATGAGAAATATTAGTAAACCTTAGCAAAGCAGTGATTCAAAGTGGTGACAATGCAATATGGTGACATCCGGGAGGTAGTTTGGAATGGCTGAGGAAGGGGGTCTGGGAAGTGGCTTCGTGGGTCCCTACCTGTTCTGCTGTGGTTGGGGGTCCTAGGTACCTGGGGCCACAGTGGCAAGATCTGTACCACCAGCCATGTGTGGGACCACACACTTCGGCAGCACCCCTATCCACCCCCACCCTACCAGTGAATCCCAGAGACCAGGGACCAGCCCTGTCCCATTCATGTGTGTGGAAGAATGCAGAGGACTCCACACAGACCTTGGGCCCCACTCTTCCCACCACCACAAGGTCCCATAAACATCTCTCTGCACCAGGAAATTATCTTGGCTGGGAGAAGTGTGCTGCCGGGGGTGGGGGGGGGGGCAGCGGAAAGCGAGGAGAGAAAACTTTAGAAAATCGAATAATTTCACTCAAAGGAGACTGAGTTCAACATACAGAAATGGAGATACCTGTGATGGGCAAGTTAAAGGTTTCTTACTTTCCTTCCTTCCTTCTTTCCTTCCCCTTCCTTCCTTCCTTCCTTCCTTCCTTCCTTCCTTCCTTCCTTTCTTCTTTTGCCTATCACTAGTGGGAATGGTCATATCAGATTAAGAAGAGTGCTAGAAAAATTAAGAAAGATGCTGGTTTTACCCATCTAAGTAGTAGATTGTCAGCCCTGCCACATATGTATCTAAAGTTTGCCTGGGCAGCTGTGTACTTTAGATTTCAGTGTGTTTCTCTTTGGCCAGAAGTTGAAAATCATAAAATCATCAAATCTGCATTATCCATTGCTGCATAATAAGTTAATCCAAAACTTAGCATCTGAAAACAACAATGAAGATTTATTATCTCACATTTTTCCTGCGGGTCAGAATTTGGAAACAGCTCAGCAGTTGGTTTCTGGGTCAGGGTCTCTCAAGAGGTCGCAGTCAAGCTGTCAGCCTGGGCTGTGGTCATCTGAAGGCTTGACTGGGGCTGGCAGCTCTGCTTCCAAGATATGCCTGCTAAGTTGGGGCTGTTGGCAGCAGGCCACTGTTTCTCACCTCATGGTTCTATCTATAGGGCTCTTGAGTGTCCTCATGACATGGTGGTGGCTTCCTCCAGAAGTAAGTCAATGTCTTTTATGACAATAAAGAAAGAGCAATGTCTTTTATGACAATCTAGCCTCAGAAGTCACACTTTTCCATACGACCTCTGCTTTCAAAAAGGTTATGATATTGCAGAGTAGGTAAGACGTCCCCATCTCGAAACCTGAGGTCTGAGTTCCAAGACAAGTGGTCGAGCTGCCCAGTCAGGCAGCAGAAGGCTTCCTGGGAATGGGTAGAAGAACCCCCACCCCCTGGTACCTGGTGCCTATGGACTGGACCTATCTGACATGTGGAAGCCCGTGGGAGCCTGGCAAGTGAGGGGGGCCGGTTCTCGCCCACTGGACAACCCGGGGTGTGTGGAGGAGGGTACTCTGTGACTGGAGAGAGACTGCGGAGTTAGCTCCCAGCAGAAAGAGGAAGGCAGGGTGGGGCCCCTGAGGGACTTAGAAGTGAGTCAAGAAGGAGGTGGTCAAGTGAGGGTCAAGGCTCAGAGGGAGGGGGAAAGCAGGAAACCCAGGGCTGGGTCACATGGTCCTCTGTTGGTCAGTGCACCATCTTCTTGGCTGTCATCCCTGGCTACAGATTCATTCATTCGTTTGTTCATTTGTTCTTTCATTCGTTCGTTCATTCATTCATTCTGGCGTGCTACAAAGCAGTTTATTGGCTATGAGTGCTTGAGGAGCACACCCTCCAGGGAGAGGGTTGAGAACAGTCAGTAAAGGCTTCTCATAGGAGGCGAGGTCTGAGCTGCTCCTTGAAGGGGAAGAGGAATAAGCCATGCAAGGGGGGGCGTTTTAGGCTTGGAAACCAATGAAGGCTTAGCAGAGACAGGTGAGAGAATGTCGAGATGAAAAGCCGGAGGGGCCAGAAGAGGGGTGGCCCTGTGAGCCGGTGGGGGTGCTTCGGGTTTCTTCCAGAAGACAACAGGGAGACTATACAGGAAATTTAGAAAGATTGTCCAGGCAGTAGGGAGGTCGGTCTGGAGAGGGTGAGCGCAGGAAGAGAGGGCGGTAACCCAGGCTCTGCAGACCGAGTGCATCGGGGATAGAGAGGGGAGAACAAGCCCAAGAGGCCTGACGAAGAAGAGTCCCCAGCGATACCTAGAGACCGAGCGACAACCCAGATGACCGACTGTCATCTCAGCTCACCTCAGCTACACCATCTAATGCAGCCTAACCCCTGATTTGGAAGATCTCTTGGCTCCAACAGCCTGGCCCCACACTGACCGCCACAGTCCCTTCCCCAGTCTGCTGCCCTCATCCCAGACGGACACTCAGTCTGGTAGAACCCAGCCCTTGCCTGGAAGGTGGTGAGGACCTGACGGAGAACTATGAGTTGGGAAGTTCTGGGTGAGAACTGACAGGAGTGGGGAGGATACTCGGGAGCTGTGGCCACAGGGGAGCCAGAAAAAAGCAAGCACGAGACTGGGGGTAGTGAGCCCGGGGAGGTCCAGCCAAACGTGAGACCTGGGCAGGGTTCCAGGCTCCCCCGGGTGGGCCTGAATTATGGTGCCGGGACCTGGAAAATGAGGAGGAATAAAGAATTTGGTCATCCAGCACACTGGCCACCTGAGAGGCACCTGAAGGTGGTGGGAGATGACCGCATACTGAAGCCTGTTTCCTATAGCTCAAAACAGAGGCTGTGACCCCGAATTCTCAAACCCCTCAATAAAGTCAGCAGTGCTGCTCTCTCCTCACAGTAGGTGGCGCCATCGTGCTGGGATTGGTGATTGAGGGGCCGAGAGAACTGGAGCCCGCGCTGAGAGGGCCCAGAGCCCCTCGCCACTGTCTAACCCCTGCACTCCCCCACTCCTCCCCTCCCGCCGGCCTAATCCCAAACTCTTCCTGCCTCTCTCCTTCGTCGCTGCTGCCCTCACTGCCCACCGTCCCCTCCATTTCTGCTTTGGTCCAGGGTGAGGGTCTGGTGAGCTGGTTCACTTTGAAGCATCATCACAAGATGCTGGAACTCCAGGACCAGCCCGGGGGTGGGGGGCGGGGAATGTGTTTTGCAATGGAAATGTCACCGTGGGGGTCTCTGGGAGCAGCTCTGGGGGTCTGCCCACACCTTCTGCTTCAGAAGGTAGGTGCTCGGTGCCCCTAGCGAGGGAGGGGTTTCCGGGAACATTTGCTCCTGGCAGGAGCGGAGGGGGAGAAAGGGCGTTTGCTCTGTACGAATGAACGACAGAATAAAGTACGACGGCTCCTGAGATGTTGAGAAGCCTTCCGCTTCCACTGAGAAACGTGCCTGGTATCTTCTCATCTCAAGGCCCGTAGTCAAGAAAGAAAACCTGAGCTCCTCTCCCCGCTTCCTTTCCTGTCCTTGGCGGGGGGAGCCCACTCTTGGCAAAGGGTGGGTGTCAGCTGGCACCAGAGCTGGCGCTGGCAGAGCTGGCCCAGACAGGGCGCAGGAGGGCAATGGGACATGGGAGCAAGGATGCCCACGGCGGAAAGACCGAAAGGAATCCCCCAGGAAACTTTCAAAGGGCCCCGGAGTCCCTACCTAAGGTAGAGTCTTAGGGCACAAGGGCCCCGGGAGACGATCAAAAAGCAGAGGTGTGTGTTGGCTGGTCCCTGCCTGGGACCCACAGCCTCCTCTCCTGCCACAGTCCCATCCTGGATTCCTTAAGGATAGTTCCTATGTTTTTTACACTCTGAATTGGTGTCATTGGTTTCATAAAAATGAAGGCACTTCTGAGACAACAGGGCAGAATATTTTTTAAAAAGGGCTGCCTGATAGCAGAGGTGCCCACTTCCCTGCACCCAGCTTAGACACCATCGGTCCCCTAGCTGTCACCCATTTTCTTACCTCAGCTGGGAATGGGTGAGTTCCTATATCCTGGTTCTATGATAACCTTAAATAAAAGGCCAATTTGTCACTCTCAGTCTTCCTAACAATGGAGTGCCCCCTCTCTAATAGCATCTGGTTCACTTTAAACTTTTAGGTGGTCAGCGTAGCGTAGGCAGTGGTGAGTCTGTGTGTTACACGTGCACTTTTGTTTCAAAGTCACCTGGGCAGGGACAGGTGGGTTGGTGCTGAAGATGCTGGGAAGGAAGAAGTGTGAACAGAGGGAAGAGATGAGAGGATATCAGAGAAAGGAGGACAAGACCAGCCAGGCAAGCAGAGGAGGTCACCGGCAGCTGCTCTGTTACTGCTCCGGAAAGGAAGCCTACGGCACCCAGCCGGCCATGAGCAGGGGAGGAAGGGGCCAGGCGGCAGTGGGGGCTGCATATAAGACTGCATCAGGTGGGCAGCCGTAAAGGTCAGCCGGAAATGTCCTGTCTGCTCCAAAACCCAGGAGGGTATTGGCTGGGCTAGCAGTGGAGGAGGTAGGGGGTGATGATAAAGCGTTCTGAGACATCTTTTGCAGCTGGCTGGAGGGAGATAGCTGCAAATTTCTGACCAGTACAGAAGCTGTCTCTTGAGTTGTTGTTCTGTAAGAAGTAACTTCTTGCCTGATTTGTGGCCGAGGGTGGCATTGCTGATAAACTGTCTAATGCCACTCATTACCCATGGCTGGGGGAGGGGAATCATGGCATCCAGCCCCCAAGGAGCTCACAGTGCAGCTCAGGAGACAGCACAAGTGCACGATGAGATAAAGCACAGGGGAGCATCAGTGCAGGAGGACCCTGGGGGGAAGCGGGGGGGAGGGGTGGAGATGGGATCAAAGTGGCCTCCAGGAGGATTTCTTAGAGGAGAAAGGAGATTTGGATGGAGACGAAGGGTTTCTAAGATTGCAGGAACAGTGCAAACAAAGGCATCAAGAAGGAGTGGAAATTTGGGGGGATGGGGAGAGATGGGGGGACAATGAAGAAGAAGCTAGCACACAGAAGACACTCAATGGCTTTTCTAAGGAGGGAAGGAAGGATAGGTAGGGGAGAAGGAGGGAGAAAGGAGGGGGTTGAAAG